CCCCCCCCCCCCGCCATTTCAACCGATTTTGACTCTTCTGTTGTTTTTTTACCATAGCTTTACTAATGTTGTTTCTGACATTGTCTTTCCTAGCGCATCATAGGTATATTTTTCGTATAAATTCTTATGTCTCTACATGATTCTGAAGTTATTTTCACTTTCTTTTACTCTTGGTAGACCCAAAAAAGAAAATTGCCTGAAAACCATCACTACAAGAAAATTAATAAATACACTTTCTATTAAGTAAAATTAACATGTTAAAATTAAGATGCTTTCAGAATTCATCTCTTTTGGTAAGTGTTTTTTCCTGAGCCAGGCGTGACCATAAAAGAGGTATAAGTTTGAGGTCGTGTTAAGATTCTGAATGAAGAAACATAGCTCAGTTACAATAACACCCTTAATTTGCAAGTCCAGAAATAAAGCTTCCACTGAAGAGGAATTCTTAATTCAGGCCCATTTTCACCAAAGACGTACAAAAAATGTCACATCTGAATTATGTCCAAAAACTATTCAAAAGTAAGGCTCCTACCACAACAGAACCTTGCTTGCTAGCTGGGGATCCCAGACATACAAATGCAACAATATCATAAACAATATTATTTTATTTTGTAGCCATATAAAAGCACCTCTGAGATCCACTAAATCTGTGGAGGAAATTAACATGTATTGGTGGCAGGCTCAAACTCAGAATTTCAACTTTTGATCCACTTACTCAGCACCCCAAACAATATTTTGATACTTGAAACAATCCTAAAATTTGGCTGTAAAAAACCCACTAATTTCACGTAAAAGTTGGAGATGCATGTGACTTTCATTTTCTTTTTATGCCTCCTGGGTAGGCTGATAAACTGCTTTTTGGAAAGCCTTTGGATTTTAAGGCTAACAGAAGGAAAGTGGAACCTGTTCTGAGGAACAGTGACTAAACCAACAAGCCTAATTTCTTTAAATACAAACCTGAAAGTAGAGATTGCATAACCAATGATCCAAGTCTTGAGAAATAAAATTTTCGATTTTTTGGAATCGGTCAACTGTGGAGTTGTAATGGCCTCTGAGGAAGGGACATTTAAATTTTCCCTCCAAAGCATTAAAATTGTTGTCACACAAGGGAAAAGCTCCCCATCCCACTTCTCGATCAATCCAAGTACGGGTCCCACGAAGAAGGAAGAGTTCAAAGAGGAGGACCATGCCTGGTTTCACAGCTTTTCTAGGTGGTAAAACCTAGCAAAGGAGGAAAAGAGATTTATTAGTTATAAAAACATCACAAGGGAACCAGCTTTCTTTTATCATATAAAGCTCTACAAACTTCATACCTTTGAATCAAATTTGCATGCTAAAACAATTAACAACTCTTCTCTTTCCACCAAATCATGTATTTGAATAATTTTCCACTCCGACAGAAAATGTTGTGCTTTTTTTCCATGCTAATTTTGTGATTTCTTTTTTTTCCCTTGGCTTTCTGAAAGTGTTCATTTTCTGTCTTTATTTACCAGCGGTGGAAAAATATTGCCACTAGAAAACTTTAAGACAGAGTAACAAACCAACTTGGGAATCTGAGGTGTCCCTGTGAGGGCTTATTGAGATTCACCACTGGGTTCTTCTTGCAGCAACTTTGGAGAGTTCATCCAAATACTCAGTGAGAATACTTGCAGGCTTGCTCCTCACTGAGTCATAAACTCTTCTCCACCCAGTTCTGGGAATGATATTGGTACACAATAGCCTTCCTTCTTCAAATTAAAGCAGGGAAACTCTTCTTGCAAAGTATATGAACCTCAGGGTAGGGTCAAAAAGGATTTTGAGATAATAAACTCTCAGCATACCAAAGACTGGCAAATACTGTTTACACCTTTCATAAGATAGCTAGAGATATTCTTCTGAGCAGCTTGGAGCTGTGGAAGAGGGTTACCAATGCCTTAGGGCCCTGGAGCAATTGTGTTCCCATGGCAAAGACTTGAAAATCAGGGGTGAAGAAACACTCTGAAGTAATGAATTTATGTAAATCCCTCCGTAAGATTTGCTGTGTGAAGCAATACAAGGTCATGGAGAAGAGGGTAGAAAAGGAAGCAGGGCAAAGACAAAGAAAAAGAAATCTGGCCCTATACCACAATTTTAACTGTTTAATTAATGTGGGGGTTGACCCAGGTCCTGTGGAACAGCTCTTATACATTCAAAAGGGCAAATAAAACAAAAAACATACAAAAGCTAGAACATGGAAGGTGATTACCATCATACCTTGGTTAACAGTTCTGAAGGGTAGTCACCTGGGGACAAGGGGAGCAAATACGTCAGCTACACCTCTCACACAGCAAAACATCTGCTTCACCACTGCTCCTACACATTCTCCTGGATTATAGAGAACTGGGACTGCCTAATCTTTTAAATAAACTATCTTGGATGCTTCTCTAATAGAGACATTGTCCTGTTATTTGAATGTTTTCCACCTTTTATTGTTCCCATTTCAGTCCTCAAAGTTCATAGCAGCAAATGCCTTCATACATTTGCCTTGCAGAGACTCCTGCTCAACCTTACCTTGCCTTCCAGTCAAGGCAGAGAAAGAGGAGCCTTTTCTCCTTCCCTCCTCCCTGTGAATTGGCATGTACTCCTAGAAGGCCACAATATTCAAGGGTATCCTCTAACTCCAAGTGTCCTGTAAGATATACCCTCAGTACTTTTTAAGACTCAGAGTAAGACCTCCAAATAGAAGACATCCATCCAAACTGATCACCCACTATTAAAAGCCTAAAATGCCAGTGTCTTCTTAAATTAGCAGTATTTCCTCAATCAGATGACATTCTACAGCTGATAACCAGCCACAAATCTTTACTGCTTCAAATATTTCTGCACATAAGTACACACCTCAATGCAGCTCTTTCTTGACTGATATTTTTAAATACAAGCATCACTTTTTTATACTCCTGATTGAACAATAGGCAAGATGATAAGCACAACTCAGGTACAGCCAAGCTTTTTCTCTCTCTTTTTCTGAAGCAGCTAGGGGATTTACCCATACCAATAACTGCTATGTTAGATGATACATGTTCATAGTTGTGCTGCATTCTATAATTTTTTTGAAGAGGTGAATATAAATTATTATTTTAATAATATGCCTTCCTGTTTTAAGTTATATATTGTGATTAGATAACGGCAAGAGAGAGGAAGTAATTTAAGGAAATCTTTTAAAACTATAAATATTGTCATTATTATGTAGGTGTACTTTATATTAATTATGTAAATATATTCTAAGACTTAGTGTAGGCTTAAAATGAAACAGAAGCATCTGTTGAAAAATGCCATAACCCTGTGGCAGCTGCTATTAAACCATTAACAGTATCAGGTTTCATTTAAACCAGATTTACCATTTTCTATAACAGCCCGTGGGAAAGCTAAAAACATTAGGCACAAATTACTGACAAAAGAGATCCTTAATCAAGCCATACATTTCATTTGGCTAGCTGGGTGCTAGATAGTAACCTCTGTGCTACAAATTAAAGGTGGTGGTTACAAGGCTATGATCAAAGACAATTACCTGCATTATTGAACAATCCCAAAGCATAAGCAGCTGAAATCACTGCCGTATCACAACATCCCTTTCGGTTTCTCCCTTGTTTCCCAGACTTACTCTTTTCTTTAGAGTTACTCAACAGTACACTATCTTCTGCCAGCCTGCCTATGAGCAGACAGTGGTCAAGCAGTTGGTGTAAGGGTAATTGTGACTATTAAAAATTAATTTCTTTGTTTCCTGCTCACATTTATTCTTCATTTGCTATAAGCTCCCACCCTGGACCTAGACTGCAAACTCACTCTTTGGGACTGGAAGCATCCCTTTGCTTACAGTTACAGGAGCTGGATGTTTAAGCCATGCCATGATCCAAACACGTAATGACAAAACATATAAGAAAAGTAAGGATTTTGTCACACACCGGTGTGCTACAAAGCCTGAGGCTGTAAGATTCATTCTGGGAGTCCTCATGCATGAACACTGGGTGTCTGACCCAGGTAGGACAGTGCCACACATCTCAGCGTACATGGTCAAATAAAACATACCTACCAAGTAAGAAATTTTTTTTTCTGTTGAATCCATACAAAAATCCCAGCCAAGTCTCTACCTGTTACTCTATGCCGGTGTGACAAGCATTCACGCAGGCGCCTGTGGGCTTTCATTTCCATCCTGACGGCCGCCGGGAGCATGATTTATACAGGGGAACTGCTGTTTAAGAAGGGACAGCCAGGCTGAAGCAGAAGAGTTTCAAAAAGGAGGCAGGTCCCCTTACCAGCCCCATGCTAAACCTATTCCCGTCGCCACAGTGAATGCGCATCTCTGTCACAGCCCGCGGTCCCACAGCCGCAGGGTCAGACAGCCCTGGGAGGGAGCTCGGTGGTGTGCCACCTGCCCTTCATTAGCCTCCTCCTAGGCCGCAAGCCTGAGAGCAGGGATCTGGGGCACGGCCAGCGCAACCCGTAGGCATAGATGCACAAAGGTATTTAGGCATGTAGCTCCAATTGAAATCCACAGCCCTTGAGCACCTGTGTGCCTCTGTGGGTTTGGGCTATCACGCTCAGGTACAGGGCAGGGAACAGCTCAGGTATTTAGAGGAGGAGGGGAATCAGTAATTGCGCTCTCTCGTACAAGACTCGGGGCAGTGCCTGGGATGGGCAAGGCGCAGGAAGCTCAAACTGACCAGTTTGTTTTGATGGACTGTTTTGTTTCTGAAGAAAAAAAAAAAAACAGCAGTTATATTTTCCCTGCTGGCAGCAACCTCTTTTGAGGCACTATTTGGTAAGTTAGTCCACAAGCCTGCACCAACACTGTTGATGTTCAAAGAGAGCATACTACGTAAATACAGCTTCCTGGGTTTTAATGAGTCTACTCTCTAGCACCTTAGCCCACTGTTTCTCCTTGCTCAGGTAAAATTTCCATTGAGGTCTGTGAGGTATATAGCCTTTTACAGTGCTATGAAAGCATCCAGCACCCACTTTTTACTGGTGTAATTTCTTCTGCAAAGAGGGATGTAGCAGAGAATAAATAATGCTTGCGTGTGCCTGCACAGGCGCAAGTAATTCTTCTTAGTCTGCAGTTAACAGTGTTGCATTTAATTGAATTAAATCATAGTGAACTAAAATTATCTCTTGCCACTATTTCTGAATTCAACTGTTTTATATCAGTTTTATTGTAATATATCTTACTTCCCCATATGCCACCATAATTTCAGCAAAGAAATCGTTTACTCTAGAGAGAGAATGAATTCTATTTGAATATTTCAATAAACAGTTCCAGTGTGAGGATTTTGGGGTTTCTGTCTGACTTACTCTTGGGCTTTAACCTTGTCAGAGAAGAAATAAACCTTTGCTTCACTCCTCTGCACCTTCAAATACTTTCATTTTAGAAGAAAAAGGACAAAAATTACATTACTTAATTCACATAACACAAAAATTTGACCACTAAACATGTGCAACTCAAATGGATTAAAGTTAATTATAATATGCAAAGGCAATTCAATGTTTACTTATTATATAGAATAATCTTGCAAAACACCACAGAAATTAACGGCTCATTGTTTCTGATTATGAAAACTGCAGCAAATGAAACTCACTGGTGTAAAACATGGGTAGAAAACCTTTTAAATAGGAGCAGTTCCCATCAAACTATTTCATTAACAAATAAAAAATTACTTCACTATGTAAAATGAATTGTGCTGGAGACGAGGCTGTTATTGCCAAAATAAGGTGGAGCTTTCACAACCAGATATCAAGCCCTCCCTCTTTACATGCAAAGCCAGCATACAGGCAGAGGGAAGGGCATTCTTGGGAAGTGTTTGGGTAACTTTGAAATTTATAAAAGGCCAGAAGAGAGGGAATAGAAACACGGACTGAGATAAAAAAAAAAATCATGTTATTAGGGTTTTCCAAAAGTCCTATCTATCATCAGAATGTCCTGGAGTAGGTGGAAACTTACTTCCCCAGCTTTCCATCGCTGCCTGTCTTTGAACAGGTATCTGAATACAAAATAACACACAAATCAAAGGACGACCGTGCAGTGCACTACCATTCATTTCCCCGTATATATGGGGTTTTTTTTCTATTTTCTGAAAAAGAGAACAGACCTTTCAAGCCTGACATAGGTCAAATGACTCCCTGACTCCTCTCCCTGCAGCTTGCAGATCTCCTTAAACCTTTATGCAGTACCACCATCTCCCCTGTGACCCAGTATCCCAGCCTCCCTG